AACCCTCTGGTGAAGGCTGGGTTGGTTCAAAACGGAGCTACAGTCCAGGTTCAGGGTTCTTATGAACCCCAATTTTAGCTGGACTTCTCCAGCCCCCTAAGTCCTCTAAGTACTGGTAGGTTATAAGTAGACGTATGCTTGGGGTTATAAGCCCCCATGAACCTCCAAGTAAGTTTCTGAAGGGCGTTGGTGGGGTTCAGGTGCTGAATCCAAGGCCGAGTGCTTCGGACATGCGAGCGCCGACCACTGTGAACCTTCAGCCTTGAACCTCAAACTGCTTACCGGTTCTCAGTAGGGAATGAGGGAAGAATGTATCCTAATGGAATCCCTTTGTCGGAAAATATCTGCTTCCCTCATTCCCTGCTACTTGAGGTGGTGGAGGATGAGCCCCTGTACAAGATCCTGGACATTTTTCGCACAGGCAGGGTGGCGCCATGGATCATAGAGGAGTGGGGAAGGGAGGATTCGCCCTAAACCCTAAACCCTAAACCCTCAACCCTAAACCCTCAACCCTAAACCCTCAACTCTAAACCCCAAACCCTAAACCCCAAACCCTAAACCCTAAACCCTGAACCCTCAACCCTAAACCCTAAACCCCCAACCCTTAAGCCTTCACCATGTGCCATCGCCTCTGCAGGTCAGACGCACATGGCCGTGGTGTATGCCAAGGATACGGAGCTCGGCGACAACCTGGAACCTCTGGACGTGGCTCCTCTGGGCATCCTGACCCTGGAAGACGTGATCGAGGAGCTTCTGAGTGAGGCGTTAAGGCCCTAAAAAAGCCCCCAGGCAGAGACCCTAAGCCTTAAACCCTAAACCCAAAACACAGAACCCAAAACCCTAAACCCTAAACCCTAAACCCTCAGCCCTAAACCCTAAACCCTCAACCCTAAACCCTAAAATGTAAGAGTCTCCAGGCAGAGACTTGCGCGCGCCCCTCATCCTCAGGAGCTCATCAATGAGGAGATCGTGGATGAGACGGACCTCTACATCGACGTCGCCCATGAGGAGGGAGCTCAAAGCCTGCATCTTTGGAGGTTTAGGGTTTAGGGTTTAGGGTGTAGGGTCTAGGGTTTAGGGTCATGCGGTTTTTTGGGGTAGTGACCCGACAAATCCTGAAGTTGTAAGGAATCATTGGCAGCCCCCACGATCCCCAAAAGCCGTGAGCCCTGAACCCAAAATGGCGGCTTCCGAAAATGGCGGTGTTTTTTTTGGAGGTTGCTAGAAAAGGATTATTGCATGGGGTATATGTGGGGTACCCCCTACTTTGGGAAATACCCAAATTCCCCGCCCATAAACCCTAAACCCTACAGTAAACCCTAAACCCGAAACCCTAAACCCGAAACCCTAGACCCTAAACCCTAAACCCTAAACCCTAAACCCCATGGAGGAGGCGGGTGCTGCGGAGCGCCTCAGGGGTGCGGACAGCTCGGGGAACGGGCGCCTGGTCTGCGCCCAGAACCACGTGTCTTTCGCCACTAGGTCCACCGCTTCGGGCTCCGACCTGGACCGGCCCTGTGTGTGGGTTTTGGGTTTGGGGTTTAGGGTTTAGGGTCCGAAGTTTTGCTTCTTTTCGGTGCTTTTGGTCTTGTTTTGAGTGGCGCATGGAGGCCTTGCGAAAGCTGAACGCACCAAACCTAGCTCTGCCTAAAGCTAGAGCCCCCTCCGCCCCTGAGCCACTCCAACCCTGAACAGGAGCCCGAAACCCTAAACCCTAAACCCTAAACCCTGAACCCTAAACCCTAAACCCCAAACCCCAAACCCCAAACCCCAGACCCCAAACCCTAAACCCTAAACCCTAAACCCTAAAACCCTAGCAGGACCTCAGCCAAGCCTTGCCGGCGCGGAGGCAGTCCACTCCTGCAGACCTTGGCCGCATCCAGGCCTAAACCCTAAACCCTAAACCCTAAACCCTAAACCCTAAACCCCAAACCCTAAACCCTAAACCCCAAACCCTAAACCCTAAACCCCAAACCCCAAACCCTAAACCCTAAACCCTAAACCCTAAACCCTAAACCCTGAACCCCAAACCCCAAACCCTAAACCCTAAGCCCTAAACCCTAAACCCTAAACCCTAGCCGGCCAGGCCGCCCAGTCCAGCTCCGTGGAGCGCATGCGGCGCAAGGGCACCGGGCTGCGGAGCGCTTCGGTGGTGTTTGGGTTTAGGGTTTAGGGTTTAGGGTTTAGGGTTTAGGGTTTAGGGCTTAGGGCTTAGGGTTTAGGGTTTAGGGTTTAGGGTGTCTCGCCGCGCAGCGGCAGTAAGTACCATGTGTAAATGGCGCCCCTACACACCCAGGGGGTGTGGGGGGGCGGCATGTCACGCGAAGGAATCTGTTGTCAATGTAATCCAACAATTTTCATTGGTGCTGGTTCCTTTCTCCCGCCCGCTGTGAGCTTTCACAGGCCACCACCCAAACCACTACCTTTTAGGGTTTAGGGCTGTCGCCCTCAATTCCCACCATCACGAACGCTTCACATCAGGGGGGGCCAGGGTTGGGGGCCAAGGAAGGGGGCTCACGGAAAGGCCAGGGCAGGGGCCGTGAGGGGCAGCGCGCGGGTCCAGAAGCCAAAGGGTCCCTTTCGTAAATGTAAGGCACCACTTTAGTGGTCCTAAAGCAAGGCTCAGTTGTAGGGGCTGTATTCGACCACTCTCCAATGGCTCCACCCATTGTCCATCCAGTAAAGGTGTATCTCTCTGCCGGGTAGAATTCTGGGTCCAGGCACCCTAGTATAGGGTGGGTATGGCCTATGCAGCAGGCCGGGTGGGAATTTAGGGTTTAGGGTTTAGGGTTGAGGGTTGAGGGTTGAGGGTTGAGGGTTGAGGGTTTAGGGTTTGGGAAGACCCTAAGCCCAAAGCGTCAACTATGAGCCTTCAACCCCAGACTTAAACGCTGAACGCTAAGCCCCCACCCCCTCCACCACATTGAATAGGACTAGTCTCAAACTTCGTCGTCAAGTTTGTCTTGTGGGATTTTCGACACAAGCAGCTCATCGATAATGACCCCTTCTATTTCTGCTCGCTTGCTAGCTGCGCCAGCGCGCTGTGCATTCACCTGCAAACACTTTAAGACAAGCAAAGGAGGCGCATGGCAGTGAAAAACTTTGGAGTCGAGCCTCTTCTAGCCAACAACTCGGAGTCCGAAACCCCAAGCCCGAGTTCTTAAAACTCTCGGGTGATTCTACTAGGGTTGTGTTGCGGACGCAGCGAAGAGAGTCGCCCAGCGAGCTGTCTGTAGCAATTGTTTTTTTGGGGGTTTAGGGTTTAGGCCACCCTGCCAAGGTATGTTCGACCTGGCCCACGCCCAGGCCAAGGCGAAGATCACTCAGAGCCCTGGAAGCCCTTCGACGGACAGCCGGACTCTGGGCCAAGCGACTCGGAGCGAGGGGTGGAGGCTTTTGAGCTGTAGGGTCCCGAAGCCCTAAGCCTTAAGCCCTAAACTTACCCTAAACCCTGAACCCTGAACCCTGAACCCTAAACCCTAAACCCTGAACCCTGAACCCTGAACCCCGAACCCCCTATATTCGGGCCTTTATGAACCTGCGTAGAGGGTGTAGGGCTCAGAGTTTAGGGCTTAGAGTTAGGGTTTAGGGTTTAGGGTTCGGGGAGTGCGTGGGCAGCTTGTTTCGCTTTCAGCCCAGAACCCAAGAGCAGCCAAAGATTCCCTTCAACGGTGCCTATTATAGGGTGCTTAAGGGGGTTCAAGGGGGGTTTGTACCTAGGCAACCTTAGGCAATGTTAGGGAGCCCTATATAGGGAGTAGCAGGGGAACCTCCCTTGAAATCCCTCTCCCTTCAGAGCCCTATAAGCCCAGGGAGCGCGGCAGCGTTCTGTGCGCACCATCGCCCGCACGCCGCTGCTGCGGAAGCAGACGGAGATTCCATGAGCTTACACCACCATGTCGTTGAAGATGGCTTGAGATGACCTTAAACTCTAAACCCAAGACCCCAAAGTTCAAATTTTAAACCCCTAAAGCCCTAAAATCGAAATACCAAGCCCCGCAAGAAGGGATCTCAGCCCGGACTACGGCATCCACTGTTTCGTGCACATCGGTTCGCAAGCGTCGGGTGAAAACACAAAGGAGAGCTGTCCGATCTGTGCCGGCCCTTTTGCTATCTTCGCCGGGGACTGGAGTGGTGCCATCAGGTCTTGAGTTTGCTGATGCAAGAGGACACCCGAAGCTCCAAGCTTAAGTCTTCTAAGTAGGTCTTTGGAGGGTAGGGAGGGCATGGGGTTCGCCAAAGGCGGGGGAACAGGCTTGCCTTACGGCACAACAAAAAGCAGTACGAGTCGATGGAGCGGCAGCAGTTGCTTCTTGCATCGCGGTGAACAGAAGGACTGCGCTCTGGCTAGAAGTCCAAAGCCCGTCCCCGGTGACAAAGTAGCTCTCAAGCCTAAACTCAAGGTGTTGGATTCTGGGCAGCTCGGCCACCATGGTGCTGCTGACTGCAGCAGCGCAGGAGTTTCGTAATCTCTGAACCTTTAAAACTGTCCGCTGGCTTTTTCAGTTTTTTGCACCATAGCAGTAGTCCCAGCCCGCAGCCGGCATCAACAGGATACGGTACACTTCTCGGTTCAAGTTTCGGTGTGGTTCAAGGTTTGACGAGTGCAGGATTGAGAATATGGGTGGGGTTGGTAGGGTCCCAGCTACTGTGAGTTGGCCCAGCGAAGGACCTCCCTACAATATACGCACCTCGGTCCGGACGCCGATGACATCGCCGGCGGGGCGCTAAGTGGGAGGTATGGAGGTTGGGGTTCAGAGTTGGGGACAACTAGTCTTCGAGATCTGGATCCAGCCGCTGTTTGGCTTTACAGGACATAGGGAGACTTTACGGTTTAAGTTTCGATGTGGATCAGCTTGCCTCTTTTGGGGGAGCCCTTGGCCCCCGGGCTTTGCCGCTTTGGGTGGCTTCAGGGGAAAGAGTGCAGGGCCTAGGGAGCTTGGGACCGTTCTTTCCCTGCTGTGGAGAATGCCTTTGCCAGGAGGCCTTGAACGATACCGATGGCAGGCGCCTTTTCCAGTCCAAGAGCTTTGCTTGCGGAATCCTGACAGGAAGCTTTCGAGTTTGCAGTCTTGGGGTTTTGGAGCTTTGTGGTTGGGGATTTCTGGCTCGAGACTGGACCAGGTCATGTCACGTCCTACTCCCTGCGCGGATTCCCAGCACAAGATGAGGGGGCCGCACTTTAGATGTTTGGGTCAAGCACGAATTGACGAGGTTTGGCTTCGCCTTGCTATCACTACGCGCGGATGCTGTCTGCAAGCTTCTCCAAGCTGACAGCTTTCGCGTTCGATCTTCGCATCTAAGCCTGAGCATGGCTGGAAGGTATTGGAATGACAATGCTGGCGGTCTTTGGTTGCAGAGCTATTTCCTGTGCTGGCCTCAGAGACTGATTCAACGAGGTTCCGGATGTTGGTGTTCATTGTTTTTCTTTTGATATTGTTGGTTGTTGGTCTGTCTTATCTCTGGAGAGAGGGGAAAACAGACAGACCTATGGCTTTGGAAGACTGTATAAGCATCATACTCTTGCTTGCCGAAGGACTAGCCCTCTTTTCTGAATTCATCTTTCATTTGGCCTCGGAAGCTGACCTTGAACAGACAGAACCCCAAACCCTAAACCTTGACCCCATCAACCCTAACCCCGATTCCTAAACTCAGGAAGAACAATCAAAGCAATATTGCATAGCTATGTCAGAGGGAAGGAAGGGTCTCCGACTCCGAGGAGGAGGGGGGGTGGATTGCTGTATTCCTAGCGCTTAGCGTGCATGCATCGTGCCAAGACCCAAACCCATCCGAGGTTTCAACCTATGTGACATATTCAAGGATCCTGATCCACTTGCGGTCTGGTGCTCCACATTCCTAGACTTGAGCTCCACGCTGCCATTCATCACACTTAAGGTCTTCCTTCACACTGCAAACTGTGGCGGTGAGTATGGTGGACGCGGACTTCCGCCGCAAGACTTTCTCTCGTGGCAGTGGCAGGGAACTAAGAATATTCATTGAGTTGGGGTCTTTACAGTGCTTGGGAAGGCACCGCACCGCGCTTTATCTTTTTTGGTTTGGGCAGTCATTTGTTCATCCACTCGCGTTCAAGATTTGTTGGGCACCACTGTTGCGTCACTGAATTATTGGCCATGTTCCGCTGGAGAGGCGACTCGGAGTGCTGTGACGCCGGAGATGTGCGCCTTGCTGCCAGCAGCTTCAACAAACTCAACCGTCTGCAGTCAGTCCGAGTGGTGATCTGTGGTTCCGTCATTCTGCAGTGGAGGGCCAAGGCTTCGCCTGCCCGGACCAGCCCTTTGAGCAGTGCTTGTCCTATTCACCTCCCTCATTTTTTGAGAGGTATTTCTGCTGTGCGGCGCAGCCTCATTGCAGCTGTAGAGGTCAGGGTTTCACGTGGGGACTGTAGGGAGATGAGATGTGTTGGCGCAGGGCGAACTTGGATTCTGGTTTGTTTTCTTGCACAGGCCTCATGTAGGTGCTCTGAGCCGCGTGGACAAGGAACGACCTACATGCTAGGCAGGTGGCAATAACGTGGCTGAGGCTCAAGCTCTGCATGACGCGATATTTTGTTGTTCATAACTGACAGCAGGTTGTCTTTGGATCGAGCACACTACTTGCATGAGTACTTAGACACGCACAGCGTCACATTTGGCTTTGCTTTAGTTAGCATGCGCCCAAAGATGGCGGCTCTGAAGCAATGTGTGGTGTTCCTTGTGCTTTACCTTTCGCTTGCCAAGCCTGTTCAGGTTCGGATCAGTTCCCAGTTGAGGACCTGTGTGGAAGAAACAAATTGTTCTTGCGCAAGTCTTGACCTTAGCGACCTTGACGACCTGGCACGCCAGACTTTGCACAATGGCATTCAAGCTGTGAAGTACTGGCCCGAGCCAGTTGGCTATGAAAGTGCAGTCCTGCAAAAGGACCGAGACCTGTACACCGACACATATGCCAACTTTCACGCGAGAGATCTGCCAGCCATTCAACAGGAGCTTGGCGCTAACGTCCTTTTGTTGGGCCCCTGGAGCTTCGCAAGCCATAGGAAATTCGAAGTCGCAAGCCGCCATGTGGGGTTCTTGCAAACTGCCAGCATGCACAACATGTCAGTCATTCCCTCCTTTGACCTTCGTGCGTACTGGCAGAACGGAGCCTGGAGCACTCCGACCACACGGGAGCAGCTACGCAGGGACTTCCTGTCCTTCCTGCAGGATCCTGCGGTGTACGAGGGCGAGCGGTTGGCGACGCCAGGCATGATCTTAATGTGGAATCTGGTTGGGCTCCCGGCAATGGAGACCATGTTGCCCCGAGAGTGTGTTGGACAACTTGCAACTGATGTGGGCAACTTCGAGAATTGCATCGCTGCGGACATGCAGTATGCTCTGCTCAGTGTCCAAGAAATCCAGCAGATTCTTTGGGTCGTCCGGGAGACGCAGCAGGAGTTCTACTGCACTGGGGACGCAGACTGTCAGGCTGGAGATGACGCGGTGGGCGTCTTCAAGTTTGACCGCCCCGTCGCGATCACCCTGGAGATCAGCTCCGACGAGTCGGAGCTGTACTTCAAAGCCTTTCTTCTTTGGATGGAAAGGGTGGTGGGCTGCAATCACATCGCAGCTGGCCATGTTCGTGTTCCCAAGTCCTTCGTCGATTTGGCGCAGTGTGCCTTCAACGGCTATGGCCTGTACGACAGCTTCATCTTCAAAGTTCACACAGTTGCTGATAAGCTGGAGGCCACTGCCATCCGGGGGCTGAGAGAATTCTTCGGCCAGCCGCAGCAGCTGTTGGGATCAGCGCCTGTCTCTGTAGCGGATCTTGCAGGATCCACAAAGCTGGTGTTGCTGGAATATGGGTTCCCGGCCTTCTCTCATGGCGTCATGCAGATTGAGAAGCAGCAGGCCGCTTTACGAGAGGTTTGGCACGGGCAGAATTCGGATGGGTGGCTGCATGCTGCCAGGAGCAATGCCTCCTGCGTTGCAGGAGTTGTGGTTGATGAGTGGCTTGATGTCTGGAGTGCTGACGAGGTCTATCCCTCTTGCGCGCATCTGAAGCTGAAGTTTGGCCACTCTGCCTGTGGGCCCTTGACCAAGTCTGGAGTGCTAGCTGTGGCTTACCAGGGCCTCGTAGGCCAGTTCCACGCCTCTGGCCAGCACTGCATCGAGAAGCGCTACGTGAATCGAACCTCTCGTTTCTGGTTTGCAGACGGCCTGATCCAGGAGGAGGCACACATCGCCCATTCCCCTTGCGCCATGGTCCGAATTCGCCCCGGCCTTCCCTTCGCAATTCTTGCTGGAGCGTTATTGCCATGGTTCCTGGTGAAGCTCTGGGCTCTTTTCAGACCGATTTGCCGACGTGAATATCATGGTGATCAGCAAGTGGTGGAGAAGATGGAGGACGACAATTACCTTGACAGCCTTGTGAAGCTTCTTGAGGTGGACAAGTGGAGGATGCTGCGCGAGTTCAGCAGCGAAGCATACGGTTCCAGCCTCGCCGAATTTGTTGCTGCAAAGCTACAAGACGGCTACACCGTGCGTGCAGGCACCTCCCACCTGACTGACTGTGGTGGCTGGGGCTTCAGCTTGGAGAGGCCATGCAGCATATGTCCGTGCAGCGGCGTCCCACAAATCTCATACCATCGTATACTACGCGATGGAAGGGGCCGCGGACCAGCCGTGAGAACCTTTGCAAAGAGAGATGATTTTGTCAGATGGCTGGCCCGTCAGAGTGACCGAACAATGGCAATCTTCGGCCTGACGGATGAGGACTTGCGACAGAACCGGATTGGACTAGGAACTATCACCAGAAAGGATTTCTACCATCTCATGGAGTTAACAGGCTTTGCTGATCCAGATCGCCTGCTTCCTGGCAGCCTTGGAAAAACAGTTGTTGAACACACAGTGGACTTCAATGTCAGCCATGGAAAGACGTGTAAACTCTCCGTGGAGCTGGACATATCGGGAGTTGCGACCCCGCATTTCATGATGAGTGTTACCAACAAGTGGAACAATGATAGTGCCAGGTGTCTGGATATGCAGGAGTTTGAACAAGAACTGTGCAGGGGTGCCAGGGCCTGTGCCGAGACCTTCTTTTCAATTCTCCTCTCGAGCCACTTGGCCGTGCAGGCGGATTGTCTGATGCGCCAGATTGACCACGAGCTGTTGGTCGTGGGTGATGCGACGCAAGCCCGAATCAACATATCCCAACGTGTTCTCGAGGGCTACCATGAGTTATACCCGGGGGAGAAGATGAGATTCCATGATTATGAAGATGAAGAGATGGCAGTCGCGCAGGCGATTCTGTTCCGGCTGGTTCTTTCGATGTCTGAGCACCTTGCCCATGCTCCTGAATGGATGGCATTCGTGCTTTATCAGATTGTCCATGACCAAGGAAGGTTTAGAGAGAACTCGCCGCCCGGAGCGACCATGCGGATGTTTACGTACACTGTGAGATACAAGGATCTCCTCAACGATCCACTGGAGCATTTCTGCTACAACTCCAACATTTCTGCACCGAATCAAGGGATCAACTTCGACGATGTGAACGATTGCGCCCGTCTGTACAAGTATAACGAGCCTGGCAAGATAGGTCGCGTGGGCCGATGTGGCAGGACGCCAAACAAAAGTTACAAAACTTGGAGGGAGCCTGCCGGTCTCTGGGCAGTTGCCAGCTTTATCATCAACTACAGATGGGTCCTGACTGTGGTGGTTTGGCTCCTTTGGTCTGCCGTCGTTTTCTCTGACAGCCAGCTTTTCGAATTCTGGCTTGGCAGCACCACTCGGGGTCCAAGAATGCTTGGGTTCCCATTCTTCAGCCTGGCAGTGGTAGACTTGGGATGGTTATGTGTACTCATGACCTGCCACATCCTTGTGCAAAGCCCACTTGAGTTTCCCACAAACCGCTTGACCGGGTATCTCTGCTGCCGCACTCCACGTGCAAACCGTTGCAGACTTCGCTTCTGCTGTTGCTTCAAACTTCCCAGCCTGCTGGTGCTTTCGGCAGTAGCCGTAGCTCTTTGCTGGATGTTTGGGTCGGCGTCGGAATTGGGAGATCAAGATTATTTATTTAATCAAGATTATTTAGCTCTGCTGTATCTCGTGTGCCGCTGTCTATGGGGCTTTCTGTGCAGTTACACTTGGGACTTCCAATTTTCCTATGTATGCGCCGGCTGCTCTGCGGCTATGGCTATGTGGAAGACCATGCGGAGTAGCTTTTCCTCTGCACTCATATGGACAACGTTTTGGTGTTTGTTGTTCTTGGTCAACACTCTGCTTCTTGTTGAGCGTGTTCGACATTTGACGCCATACCAATTCTGTAACTGGGGCGATGCTGAATCCGACTTCTGCAGCACCTTCACAGCAGAGCTGCTGTGGGCTCAGGTGCACATCCCGGACACGCGGTGTTTTGCATGTTGTACAGCATTGGTCGCAAGTTGGACTGTTACTGTCCTGAGCAGCGTGATAGCTATGTACTTTGTCTTCAATGTTTTCGTGGGCATACTCGGCACTGTGATTGGGGGCAAGCGTGGCGTTGTGGAAGCCCCCATCGACCGAGTAGATTTTCGAAGACAGGCGGAGCACGAGTTCCAACATAAATCCCTTCGCGTCAAGGAAGTGGCTACCATGAACCATCGCTCGCTCCTAAAGGCAGTCTTCGGCAATTGCTGGGAGGCAGTGTGGACGGCCACAGTGGATGGCCTTCATGAGGACTGCCTTATTGACAAAGAGATGACGCAGAAGCTGAGGGCACGAGCAGACTCGCTTGTGGACATTTCCGGGCCAGGCGTTCTTGACTGTGCTAGGGCTCGACTTGGTTTCTTTTTTTCTAGCCTGAGGTCCATACTAAACAGCAGTGATATCAACTTTCAACCTCGTCGCAAAGATGGAGTCTTTGTCGGCTCGCACGAGATGGAGCACGTTCACATCCCATCTCTCACTCAGATTATCCCTGTCTTTGCTGAAGATGGTCTCAGGAGTGTGGATGAGCTTCTTAGTCCAGGCGAAGGGGAGACTTCAACGAGGCTGGAATTCTTGATCTCACAATTTCCGGAGGAGTGGAAGATCTTTGCCTTGAAGCACAAGCACCATCCAACGAAGCTTTATGAGCTCCTGAGTCAGAATTTCAGGGTAGGAGGCCGTGCTCGCCAAGATATTTTCGATGCAGTCCGGGAGTGGGCATCTGACCGCACACAGACTGTGATTCGCACAGTCAACGGCGCAGTGCACTACCATCGGGCCCTCAAGGTGCTGCTGGACGTTCGTGCAGGTGAAGAAAGGATTGACCTCCGTAAACATGTACAGCTGATCTTGGCACACCAGACGTACGGCCGCTGGGAAGGCCAGATCGAAAAGGATGTGCACTACATACTCCGGAAGCACAGAGATTATCCAGTC